TGTGTCAGTAATATTATTTTTATTTTTTTTTATATATATAAAATATTTTAAATATATTTACTATGGTTTAGCATAGAAGTTTTTATCATATATGTTGCTCTATAAATATAAAAATTTCCGAATATTTGTTATCGTTTAATCAGGATCGCGTAAAGCCTTTATGACTCGTGATTAAAAAAATAGACGATAGAAGATATGTACAAGTTGAGCATATTATATAATTTTTCCGTATTTCTGTTCACGAGCAACATATTTTTCTAAGTAATATGATATTACATGTTGTATGAAAAAAGGTCAGTTGGCAATTTGGCCTAGGGCTTTATTAAGCCTTACGCTGACCCTGGGTATACGCCTTATTTCATGTAGTACATGTCATATGATAGGAACCAAAAAAACTCATTCATGAACTATACATTCTTAATTATGACTGTTTAATAACAGAAACTTGTTGTTAAATTATAACAAGTTTGAAATTTTCATTAAAAAAAAAAAAAAAAAAAAAAAAAGAAAAATAATAATAATATATCCGATACCGCACGTCATAAATATAACCACAAGTTAGGTTAGTCAAGATATTATGTAGTTATTTGTCAAATTACAAGCTATACGCTATATACGACCGTATACCCGCGTATCATCAATTTCTCATACGCTATGGATAACAATAGCGTATTGGGTATAAGCCGTATACCCTCCAATACACCACTGAATTTAAGTCAAGGGAATGATATTTATTAACTTATTTGAGGTATTTCTCATATGCATAAACTTAACTGAGTTAAAAAATATCATTAACTTGCCCAGCCTTAATATTTCCTCACATTATTAAATACTATTTTTTGGCTTCATTTTAATGTTATAATTAAACATATAACATTATACATTACTATATAGCTATTAAAAAAAACTTATTGCGATATATATATATATAAATTAGTTGAAAAGTGACATTTTGAGACATTTATTTTCATATTAATATATTATATATTAACCATATTGCCTAGTATAATGTCATAATACTGGTAACATATACATATATATTATATATGTAATTTTTAAATACCAAAAAATATGTATCAAAAAATACTACGGAATAAATTTAAAAGAATTTTATTTAGAACCCTACAATACCGGAACTCGAACCCGAACCTTTTAATAAAATAATTGAGAACTGGAACCGTAAAAACTTAAAGGTACCAGTCCCTGATATATACGAAAGTTTTTTACGAGCTGAGGGATAGACACATAAGCGTGGCATGAAAAATGCTTATGAATCCAGTCGTACGTCCGTGATGTGTTTGATATAAATATCGCGGGTACATTTTATTGTATCACTCACACTTAATGTCACTTAATTACACAGCTTACGTAGGAAATCGTTCGGGTCCTAAACTCCCAGTGATCCGACAACGAATGACACCAAAGCCACTTCTGCTACGTGCTATGTATAAGATGAGCCATCTTCGCCCTTGACTCCTCGTGTTTGACGATCTTCTCCGTTGCCGCTGACTGAAACGCCGCAATCCTGTTCTCGAAGACGACCGTCGCACATCTACAATGTAGATGTTAGAGACCTTCTTCAGAACCAAATCCGGACGTAGGCCACAGGATCCCATGACCTGGCTCTCGGAGACAACCTCGAATTCACCAGCCGCCGTCTTCTTGATGCGTGCTATGATAGCGTTGTGCCTCGCCATGTAGAGCGCGGTATATGCATGCAGCGATCGGCGACGTAGGTCACGACTTTCTGAGATATACCTACATCGCCTACACTTGCGGTCACCAACTCTCCAAGTCGAGGATCCGTTCAGAAGCACAAGATTCAACCGAGCACGGTGGATGACCCTCCGGTCGGCGAACCGCGTGAAGTTTCTTAGGAAATTATGGAAGGCAGGATGTTTTGAGACACTCTCTTTTACTACCTTGATCTGATTTCTCGACCAGACTATCGCTTCTCTGGCCTTCCTTATCTTCTTCATTATTTCTCTTCGCAGTATCCCCTTTGTTACGTATCCATCATGGGTGATGGAGAAACAGGGATCCAAGTTCCAGCCAACTTAAGCCGTTTCGGCACGTTCCTCGTACGCACAGTGGTCTAAAACATACATTTAGACTGCAAATACCCCATGTTTGAAATGTTAATTTTTTTATATTTTTTTTTATGATGTATAAATAGACATCATAAGAAATCTTAATACGAAGTTTGAAGTTCCTACCTATAAATCAATGGAACTTACAGCATTTTTTTTATGTTTTTTATGGTAAAATCACTATTTTATCGAAATATTTACTTTTTTCTTGTATTTTTTTCTCGATTTCATATTTATTTTTTAAATATTATATTACAATTAATTTGACGTTCAAACTCTTTAAAATAAAAAACAAATATAGTTATGCACATATTAATTTATTTATTTTTTTCATGCACTTAAAAGAAATTTTTTAATTTTTTTTGTTGTTTTTTAACTTCGATAGACTGCTGTTAAAAATTACTCAACTTTACCACATATTCTATGCACATAACATGTTAAGAAAGTTTTCAGCTATTCAAAAATATAAATTTTGTTTGCGTCTGTGCACACACTTAGAGCACAGAAATTATTTACTTCTAACAATACTTAATTATCATAACAGTTGTAATTTGCTATATTGAAAAATAATTTAATATGTACTTACTATATGCTATTAAGATACCTGATAGCAACACAATAATTACGACCTGATATCATAACAACTACAAATAAATGTATTATGAATGACAAATATTAATTTATTTGTACGAAAAAATTACATTATCATAATAAAAAACAAAATTTACTGTTGCATTTATTTATATAATTATAATGGTCATAATTATTTTTAATTGATTTTATATCTATTAAGGCAGCGGTTCTCAAACTGTGGTATGCGTACCACAAGTGGTACGTGAAAGACTATAAGGTGGTATGCGGAAGGCCGTGGTAGAACGGATATTAAAAATTTAATATTTAACTCTTATATTAATTTAAAAACAATAATAAATTTTTATTAATAAATAAATAATAATTTTACCGTAGTATTTTACTGCCTTTATGTTAAAAATAAATGTATTATGTAAAGTTTGTATGATTCTATTATTAGTGGTACGTTACTGATTGATGATATATTCAAGTGATACGCGAAAAAAAAAAGTTTGAGAATCGCTATATTAAGATTTTATGAAAAAATTATGTTAAAAATTTAATATGAATTATTGTTTTGATTCTTTACAACAATAAGTGTCAAATACAGTACCGTGAAAACCGAGTGTGCAGAGTATGCCGCGCACTATGGCCCCAAGGTTTACATACATTTGGGGGGCCCCCTAGTCCCAGGCTGAAATAAACTACACTTTACAAACACACAATTATTTAATAATAAAAATAATTTTTTTTTTTTTAATTCAGGTAAGGTTGTTATAATATTTTAGAATAATATAATATTTATTTAACAATGAGTCCATTGAGTATTTGAGTAGGCATACAACATATCTACATAAACTACTTAAATAAATTTACTAGAAAAATATGTTGTGAGTATAATATACAACAGTTATAGGTATTTAGTTTGATATATATACATATACATACACTAACTGATGTGAAACGTGTTTAAAAACCTAAAAAAATTGATACTTAAATTAAACAAAATGAAACGACTGTTGGTGAAGTTTTGGATTTTGCTCCCACTGGAGAAGAAGCGCTACCAAATATATAGTGCATATACCTGTAGGTACTCCGTGGTACTAGACGTGCACTTGCTGCAGTCACTGGGTGCACTTTGGTTTGTGTGGGATCCCTTTGAAAATACAAGAAAATCTTTTATAATTTGGCAACCCATTGCGAGCGCTCTCTCTCTCGTTTGTACGAATATTTTTTTACTATTTAATACGTTTATAAGATGTAAGACTTAAATAATGAAATACATTATAAAACATTGACACACTTCATTACCGCAATAAGTAAAAATTAAATAGTGTCTTCATATAAACGCTTTGTAACTATGATCAATAATTGTTTTATTATTGTAGCTGTTTTTATTTATCTTAAGCATGTTGAGAATTTTATAACTTCAATTCGTAATAAATTACTTGACTAAAAGGAAATTAGTTTGAAAAAATTTATATTAATTCTACCTTAATTATTCTTAAATTCAAGATGAATTGGTTATTAATTATACAATAATTAAACAAATACTTACAAGATAAAAGACAATACTCAATTGCTACTGAAGAAATTCTAGGAATTGTCAAACCAATTCAAACAAATAGCATAGAAAAAAGTTGTGAATAAAAATTTGAAATTGTCTATAATGGTAGACTGAAGACACAGCATAATTAGTTTTTTGCATATTGTAGGGCAATGGGTAAAAAGAGAATAGAGATGATGAAATAATCATACAAATGATGTATCCTAGGTTTCCATAGAAAAAGGATTACGTTGTCAAATTGTTATACATTGATGGTTTGAAATGTCTCCAGCTCCCCCGCAGTACTTTGGTTATTAGTTATTGTACAAATAGTAATGTTTAACAAATTCTGAAGTCTGACAAATTCATACAAATAAAATGTTTGTAGGAAAAAATTCATGAGTATCTTATAGTGGTAGGCTCGTAACATGAGTGTAGATTTTTAATAAAATATAAGTTGATTTAGTTTAAACGCATGAATTATGATAGCTTTATTATATGATAATGAATGTGGTAGATGGTTAATTAAATACGAATTTTAATAATCACTGAAAAAATTAAGTGAAACTATATAATGTAGGTAAGTGATACTATTCATAATACTTGTTTTGTTTAGTTTAACATTTTTCTATCATACTGATGTCTGATCAAATTATTTCATAACAAAAAAAATAATCATTTTATGAGATAAAAATATTTAAAAATGTTCGATCCAAATTAAATATCATATAATACAAATGTAAAATACAGAGAAAATGTACAAATTGAATAATAAACATTATTATTATTATTTATAAATTACACAGAAGACCAAAATTAAATAGAATTCAATAATCATTTAAAATGTTATTTAACACTCTTAGCATCAGTATCATCATCTATATGTTGGTAGAGTTTAGCAAATAAATTGCCACTTCTTAATTGAACAGATTTTAATCTGCCAGCAAACTGAGGTCGTGAGGGTTGGTTGTTGACTTTACGACTGTCATTTTCTTGAATAATTTGTAAATACATCACACTATTTGGATCAATATCAGAATTGTTATTTTGTGCTATATGTTTTATTCCTGCCTGTTGAGTTAAAGGGGGAGACATTGGTGAATCGGTGGTAGCACGTATTACACTTGGTCGGTTGGCTAAAGATTTCTTGAAGCGCGTTAAAGTTTTTTCAATGATTTTCTCTTCGTCAGGTTTACCAAGACACTCAAATAAACATTGTAACACCTTACAGTGATTCTCTGTGTATAAGTTTGATTTCAAGAATGTTTCTAACTCTGTCCACATAGTTTTATACTGGTCATCCTTTTTCATCATTTTCCGTGGGTTTATCAAGTTGGGTATAATAAGGTGTTCATTCTTTGATTCAGCTGTCATTAAAGCATAAATGCATTGTTTGCAATTCATTAATTCTTGATCAGTAATATTATCTTTAACCATTAAAGACAACATTGGTTCTGTGTACTGTTTCAAGTTAAATATCATAGTAGATGAAGTTATAAGTGGCCAATAAGCTGTTTGCTTTTTCAATTTTTCTTTTGCATCATCAATACAGTTTTTATCTTCAGTTGTTTTTCTTTTTGATGGTTGTAGTAAATTTAATTTCATAAAATTACCAAAATCTGCTACTCTGTACTGAGATACTTTACCTCCTGGCCCTTCACTAATCGCTGGAGGATCTTCGAGAACTGTACGGCCTGATGATACAGAATGGATGTAAATTTCACCATTATAAGATTTTAAGACATGCGACATGCTTTTGCCACCACCTTGTTTAATCATTTCAAGTAAAACAGATCGACCATTCAGTAAAAATGTTATCAAACATGCACTAGGTCGGCTATTTATATCAACTGGAGTAATTCTATGTAATGTTGTACAACTATGAATATCTGGCAAGTTATTATTTGCCCTTGGTGTACACCATTTTAATTTAATTGTCTCGTAATCAGCTCCTTCTTTTTTCGCAACCACTGCTTTAGCATCAGCTACGTTTGCATTTAAAATTGTTGTATGTGCCGTGGCAGCATGATATATTTCTACATCATAATTTGCAGATGAACTTGCATTTTGTTCTTCTTTCATTGGAATTCCAGTAACTGTTGTACTAGCTAGATTATAATGTTTTAGTAAAAGATTAGATATTTTAATACCAATCTTTGATGCTGGAACTGAATGCACTTCTAAATCTAGAATTGGTGATATAGTATGAATCGGACGATCAGTAACTTCACAAGTTATAGAATCTGGATATGTATTGACGATAACCAAATGACATTGATGAACAGTTTTGAAACTTGGTTGTGATATATATTTATTGACTTTGATCAGTTCATTATGAAACATAGACATAAGATTGTCAATTGATGGGTTGTCTCTAGCTGACGTAATGATTATTGTTCTGCACCTGAAATGATACAAAATTATGTTTAAGAAAAATCATGAACATTTGATAAATTAGCATTTTAAATAGTATTTAATAAATTTAACTATAAATATAGTTTTAAACAAACTAACACTGCTAATTAGTATCTGATAATTATTTTACTATACAAAGAATTGTTTGAGATATTTTAATACAAATATATTAATAAATTTATTATTTAAAAAAAAATAAAAATGTATGTTACTGTAGAAAAAAATAAGTAGTTTTCAATTTAATAATGAACAAATTTAATAATTAAAATCTGATTTGAAATAAGTGTTATTTTAAAAAAGTTGTCAAAAAACCCTAATAACTATGAACTGGACCTTTAATTTTTTTTTTTTTAAACTGTTACATTTACTAACTAAACAAAATCCAAAATTAATTAATTTAGTTATTAAATAACAATTATGTTTATCTTTGTCCTTATTTCAATATACAAGATTAAATTTACTTGTTTTGAACTTCAATGTTATTCTTTTTGGAATCCTGATCCATCTGAGCTGTAGTACATTCAGTCATAGTTTCTGCAGCAGTGCGAAAACCGTACACAACACTGTAGTCTCTATTTGGATTTGGCAGAAGTTTGGCAGGTGGCCCAATGAGCGACAAATGATGGAGCATATGGTTAACATTCTGTTGACTAGACGCCCAACTGTTAAGGATGCGAGACTGTGAATCGCTGCTGATGACACGTATAAGCTTGCCCTCAGGAAACAAATCCCAGACGATGCGGCAATACTCAAGTACAGCTTCGATGCTGCACGTCCACATGGACTTGAATATGGGCGATGGCGGCACAGTGTTGGGAGGCCGTTTGGTGAAATCCATTTTGATATGCGCATTACTGGCTAGTCCAAAATAAGGCGTGTGGTCCACCACAAACGTAGTTTTGTGATTGACCGGAAACAATTGGTCTGTAAGACTCATTTTCACCGCAGACCAGGTCAGTATTGTACCCGAAAACGATCGTTCTCTAATCTAAAAAAAAAAAATGGAGACACATGGCCGACGAACAGCAAATACAATTTTATTATTTCAACAATATTATTCTCATATTCGATCACAACGGACTTCAATGGGCCATTTCGCGTTCCATAGAAAATTTCTTCGTGTTTGATAATTGCTATCACGAATCCTACCGGGTTATTGTTGTTATTGATATGCGCAGTGGTCATCTACCAGTGTGTGCATCAGTTATCACGTCGACGAACACTGCTTGTTGGCCAGCCTGATTAGCCACGACGTTATCTCGGTCGTCGATCATTTCCGTGACAGTGGTCGTGTGCGATTTGTTTTCGTGCCGAGTGACCCATTATCATCATTGTCGACAGGCGATTGTAACACAATTTCAGCCTATTAACATTGCGACGACCGCGCACGTATGATAATAGTCCCGTGACGATTATAGGAGGTGCGCACCGTCGTCAGAAATATTAGTTTCGTTATCGGTCAAGAGTTTTTGTCTTTATTCGATACCATTCTAGTTTTTGTTGTATTTTCACTTTTGTTTCCGTAGCTCTCGCTTCTCGTTCCGAATCTGCCGGTTTTTGTATTTAGTTACGTCATCATCAGTTGTTGCTGCCTCCACTACGGATTGCGGTATTCCACCAAGGCCGTCGAGATCCTCCTCCTTACTCTACAAACTGTTGATTCCGTGTTCTCTGTTTTTATTTGTTAATTTCTTGTTATTCTTCTTCCTCGTAATCGTTTGAGGGTTTACGCCTTCGATATTCTGGACTGTTGTATAGGACGACAGTGTCGTCGAAGATAACACAACTGTATCATTACAATGGTCGACACGGCTGAGGCGACCAGACGGTTGAATGTCAAGAAACAGACGCTGGACGACGCGTATGCAGCTCCAGCCAACTTTTTAGAGATCGACATCCTAAATCCTATCACACATGGAGTGGCTAAAAAACGTTACACAGACTATGAAGTGCGCATGCGAGTGAGTTTCATTTATGAAAGATACTTGATTGTTTTTTTTACCTAGTGCAGGGTTAAACCTAATTACGTTTATTTTATTGTTTTTAGACAAATTTACCAGTGTTTAAGGTGAAAGAGTCAAGTGTTCGTAGACGTTACAGTGACTTTGAATGGTTACGCAATGAACTTGAAAGGGATAGTAAGGTAAAGTTTATTCCTTGCTTTTTCTTAGTAATATCTTTTAGTTGTATTTAAGAGAACAATATATCTCTGTACAGAGTATGATGGTATCTACTGGTTAATATAGAACAAAATAATTACATAAGTAGATAATATAGTAATATAATTGAACAATTTTTTGCAAAAAGAAGTATATAACTGACAAGGTTTCACATAGGGTTATCATATGTGTGAAAATATGAAACGGTACCTACAATAGTTAACTTATATCAGATATAATTACTCTTATAATTTGATATTAGTTATTCGAATTAGAATATCAGTTTTAATTTTATGTAGAATATTGTTGTATTGTTCTCTGGGTAATTATATATAATATTAAATATATTATATTCCCTTAAGAAAAAACATAATACCTGAATATTGAAATGAATTATCTATTATTAAACAATGAAATTCTTTATTATAAATCGGGTATGTTTGGAATCTGTTATGCGTCATAACTCTTAAATAACAGTTAAATTTACTTTTTAAATTAAAAGTAGAAACTAATCAATTTTTTTAAAAGTTACTATATTATACTGAACGTTGATCACTTGAAACTTATTCCACTTATTATTTTTTTAATTGTTCTAAATTATAAGATTAATTTAATATAAGTTTAATTTGAAATTTATATTTTGTTCTTAAATATTTTTTTTTATTATGATAGAATATTTTTTTTCACATTTTTCAGATATTGTTATATTAATTTATTATGTAATAAGTACACTAGGTTTTTAAGTAATTCTTGTAAATTTATCATTAAAACAATATACGAAGCCCTTATGTTATTTTATTCAAAAAGAAATTCATTTATAATTTTGACATAAATTAAAATATGTACATTGATTGGCTAGAATAGTATAAAATTGATTTTATTGAATATTTATCTGCTATGTAAAAGTTTTAATCCTTATGTTATCACCAGTTAATTTATTTTACATTTAACTTAATTATAATATATTTTTTTTTTTATTATTATTCAATTAGTATCTTATAAATAATATTTTTATTGAATGCTTTGTTTATAATCCATAGAATCTTTTATTTTACCATTAATATCATATAGACTATAGATAGGCCAATCAATAATTTTAATAATTTTTTTAACTTAATATATTTTTACATCAACATTTTTCTTTTTTGTTACAAATTTTTATAATTGTTTTTAATATACTAATTTATATCTAAATTTACCAACATTTTCTTAAGCTGTTGAAATAAATTTGAATTTGAATTAGTAATCAAGTACAATTTTTAAGTTCAGACATCATTATGTTTTTATATTTTAGTAAAAAGTATCACAATAACCTAATTTAACATAAAAACAATAGGTACACAATTATGTTTAGTTATTTTGCATTGTTATATACATTACTGTTGAATTTTGTATTCTTCAAAGTGTCTAAATTCCATTGCATGCTTATTTCGGTTTTGTTTTATATCTAATTCATCTGCTATAAGTGCTTGTAGGTAAGTAATTTCTTTTAACTCAGCTATTGCGTCAACTATTCTAAATTTATCTGCAACTATTTGTAGTTTATTATAAATTACAATTAAAAACTCTCTACTGTGTTCATACTCGTCAATTATGTTTACCATCATTTTTGCCTTAATAATTTGTAAATCTGTATATGCTTTATCATAAACATTTATACCGCAGTGAATATGTTGTTTAGTTTCTTGTAATAATCTTAGTGCTTTATGAGGAAAATCATACCTCATCAATACTATTGCTATTTCAACATTTATAATTGCAGTCATGTATATTAAATGGTATTCTATAGCTATCAGTTTTGCATCCATTAGTATTTTCAATGCTGAATTTTCATTTGCTTTGGCAATAATCAAGTATGCCCTTAATCTGATTAATACTGAGTTTTCATCATTATTTTCTGTTAGGTGTTGAACCATATTAGTAGCTTTAACATAATCTTCTTTTTTTAAATACAACTCACCTAATCGTAATATACTTTCAGTACCATTTACAGAAGCCATTTGTTTAGCTGCTATTTCTGCTTTAGGCCATTCTTCTTTATTTAAAGCCAAAGTAAAATTTAAATACTGTTCAGCCATTATCCAAAATTTACAATGTGTGTATGGGAAAATGTTGGCTACCTCATTAATTAATATGGGAGCAAGATAATAATCTCCATGAGCAATCAAATCATTTACAATATTACACATAGCAATACATTTACTTTCTATATTATATACATCATTGTTACATTGATCGTGTTCTAAGACTAATAAAGAATGTATAGTAGATAAACGCTGATAACCATATGTATTCCAAATTGCTGCTTTTTGTACATTATTTGTCATTCGTAAATCTGTTAAACCATTAAAGTAATTGTATATTTCACTTTTTTTTAATATTTCAAAAACTAATGCTGGACTTTCAGCATTTTCAACCAAATATTGAGCCAAAGACTGTAAGCTGAACGAAGTAATCTGATGTAATTCTAATTCTTTACTTCTAGTTACAGAACATTTCAGCATAGTTAATTTATTTATTTTGCATAATGTATACATCCACATAAGTGCATGCTGTAAACAAACATGATCATTTACTTGATGTGCAATGGATATACTTTCTTTTAAATAACTTATTGCTTCTTCATTGTGATTAAAATATGCATTTAAAATTGCCATGTTAAGTGATGTATATCTGTAACCTCTGCTTTTTTCATCTAAACTTGTAACTCTACAAGTTTGACGATTGAAATAATGTTGTACAGCATTTACTGCTCCACAGTACTCTCTTACTCTTAAACAATTTAAATAACTTAAATAATGAACGTCAAAGTGATCAGGATTTGCTCGCAAAATAGCTCTTAATTTTTCTTGCAAAGTAGATGGATCAAGAGCAACAGTTTCATTGATTTTTAAAAGTTTAGCTTGTTGTGCTATAAATAATTCAACTTGTCGTGGAGACCATGATTTTACTTTTGTATACTTACTTTCTTCAATTTTGTCAGAGTTATCTGTTTTAATTGATCTAATAGCTTCCATCAATTCTTTTAATTCAGGTTTCTTAGGTTCTTCTTCTTTTTCACATAATACTTCACTGCTGGCTTGTATTTCCTATAAAAAAAAAAAATGTACTTAAGATTATAAGATTATCTATTTATCATAAAACTATAATTTATATTCTTTATTCTTACATAAACTTCATTAAGTATGTCATTACAACATTTTTTCACCTCCTTCATTACTGCTTCTGTTTGTAAAAATAGCATTTTATCAAAAAATACCATAATACGTCGTAAAAATATACCAACTGGACTACTACCATTGATTAATATTGTTGAATATACTTTGGGTATTCCATTGTCTAATAAGGTATTTTCTAAATTCTTAAACATATCCATTATTATATCCAAGTCACTATTAACAATACGATGAAGTTCTTTGAAGTATGTTCGACCGAATAAACTTGGTATTTGATACTTGCCACATGACATTAAATTAAATAATTCTTCAAAAGTGAGATCAGGGCATTGAATTAAGTGTAAAACAAGCATACTTAATGTCCGATGAAACTTTGAGATACTCATGGATTCACTTATGACCTTTTGTTTGTCAATTGCATATTCTTTGATATAATGTGATATCAATATTACAACAAGAATATTATGAGATGTAATATTTTCTTGGATCTCGTTAGAAGTTGTGTTTGGTATAGTTGTAAAATCTCTAATCATTTTTTGTTATTTTCCGTTAAAGTATAAAAAATAAAAATAAGTGAATGACTTCTTCTAAAAATAACGTTTTACTTATTAAACAATGTTACATAATTAGAAACTTTAATAATACTGTCAATCAATTTAAATTATTTCATACATTAAAGAAAATAATGTAATATCACAGTTGAAATGAGCGAGTTTTGTTATCACCAATTTGTGTGTCGGTAATGTAGGCTTATATTCCGACATTTTTGTTATACCATTATTATGGTAACAGTAACAATCCCAGTGAGATTATAAAAAAATATATTCATGCAGTTTCAAATTATATGTATTTTAAAGGAAATTTAATTATTAATTTTTAATAATTTTTTTCTAAGAATGGTTTTTTTGTCTATAAAAATTCTTTGTTAGTATTTAGAATATTTATCATTAATATGTTTATTCAAGTTAAAAGTTATTATTATTATCTATGATATTATAATGTATATTTTTTCTAAAAAATTGATTATAAGTATACATCACTTTTAAAATAGGATCAATACCTATATTTTATAAATATATTACGGAAAGCACATATTCGGCCAGGTAACCGCTCAAATAAGATATCACAGATGAATTAACTATAATTATTTTATTCAAGTTTTTTTTAATTGCTTATAATTATTTTTTTTCAGATTGTGGTACCTCCTTTACCCGGTAAGGCATGGAAAAGACAAATGCCTTTCCGAAATGATGATGGGATTTTCGAAGAAGAATTTATTGAAGAACGGCGAAAAGGCCTTGAAGTTTTTATTAACAAGTAAATACTTATTATTTAAAATAAATATTTTATTTTTTTTTTTACAATATTTAACAAGTTTGTAAATAAAATAGTAAAATATATCTACAAATATAGATAAAAAAAATAATACAAATCTTAAATTTTAGTATTGTATATTTATATTTTGACATTAAATATAATATAAATAAACTCCCTATTTGTCGTTAAACATATATCATTAAAACTGATTCTGAATATTTAAAATATTTCCTATATAATAATTCATAATAAATTCTTCAAAAAAATTATTGTTATTATAGCAAATACTTTAGCAGTAATATTTTAATTGGACTTTTTCCAATAATTCACTACCGCTCGATAAATGTTTTATTGCTCTGAAAACTGTATCTTATCTTATCACTTTAAATTATAAATAATTGTATTGCTTATTACTTTTGGCGGTCAGTCAATGATTGGATTTGCATAGTTAACTGCAGACGTGATCAAACTTTTCTACACATGATGATGAATTATTCCCTTAATTTTGTAAATCCGAACACTGGCTTCACTAATACCATTGAAAGTTCTTGAAGCAAAATAAAATCACGGAATAAAATACAGTGGGCTACCTACCGACCAATGCTGAGCAGCTACTTGGTCGAGTACATGTAACGTAAGCATTACGGTCCTGGAAATTTATTTGAAACAATGCTACAACACATAGCACACTTCATATCCCTAGAATCTGAATAATATGTGTGTGTAGGTTATTTTTTATTATTTTACCCTTATAAAAATATTTTCCATCTTTTATACCTAAAACTAAATAAAGTTTCTGGTAATGAATTAATAGAAAAGTATCTTGTAAACCATAAAGTTATTATTTTCAGAAATTATTCATAGTGTATTAATAACTAATAAAAAATTAAAAAAAGATTTAATAATCTACTTTTATTTTATTAATCAATGGTTATATTCTAAGATTATGTCTTACATGTATTTGAGCATTATTAGTGATGATTGCTAAATGTATACATCTGAGCTTATTGTTATTTAGCATAATGTGTTATACACACATTTTTTTTGTCCATATTAAATAAGCTTATCAATGTTTTTTTTTTTAACTATTCTTTGTTTAAGTTCCCTATACAACTGTATTTATGAGTCAAAAATGTGTTTATTTTTCAGAATTGCTGGTCATCCTTTGGCACAAAATGAGAGATGTTTGCACATATTTTTACAAGAACCAGTTATTGATAAAAGCTATGTACCCGGTAAAATTAGAAACACTTAATTTAGAACTAATTAATGTAATCAATAATGTCGCTGAATGTTGTTTATATTCCACCAATCAATTTTACACCATTCTCAAATTATTGTTTATCCCTACAGTACCTTAGAATATTTTCTTTTTTAATTAGCAATTATCAATATTTTTAATAATTATAATTACTGTTCATTATTATCATTTGTATTTTATTTTTAATTTAAAAATCTCATTTACATAAACTCTTATTTTGAAATTATTTTACAACATCCCTAAATGGAATTATATAATTTTTAGTGTCTCAATTACAGGTATGTTTATTGTTTATTGATTATTAATATATTTTAATATAAGTTTAGAAACATACCTAATACATTTAATTATAAATTGATATATGAAACATATTATTATTATTACAATTGTATTTAATATATTTATGAAAATAAAAATAAATAATTTATATTATATAAAATATTTTTAAAGTTTTAAAAATTATTTTCCTCATTTAATTGCTAGCATAAGTAAGCCATTTATTTTTTGTTAATGAACAAATTATTTTAATTCTATTTGTAAAAGTAGTTAAATGTTACGTCATGATTTATTTCTGTATAACCATGAGCTTCATAGTGAATTGAATACTACATTAAGAGTAATAACAGTATTTCTTAGATAGGTTAATCATATGTTCTTAGAAAAATCAATATTACATTTAAATCTAAAATAATTTATATTGCATGGTTGACGCTTACTGAGTAATCTATTGGGAGATAAAAATCCAAATGTTAAATTTAATATGATTATATAAATAAACCTTTTTTTAATATTTACTTGACTCTTAGATAACAGAATTAATTATAATAGTTAATTTTTTATTAATTATTACTTTTAATTTATAAATTATATGAGATGATTAATTTTTATTATAGTCCATATTTAAAATTATCATTTGAGCAATAAGTATTTTATAATATTTAAAATTGTTAAAAGGTTTAACTTAATTAATCTTTTTTGAGTTGAAAATCATTCTATATTTTTGTTTTTAAATTGTATTAAACTATAAATATTTTTATAAACTCAGTAAATAATTTTAGACATAAATTGGTTTTCAGTTAATACATATACTAAAAAATTAATTTTAAGTTTTAATGCAAGAATCATAAAACACCAATATCTATAATTGGATATATATTATAGGTTTGGGATGCCTAATCATCACCCATTACTATTAAGTAAATACTCATAATACAGTTGTTTAAAATTGAGTGGTTCTCATACATTACCTATCAATGACTATAGCTCCTTTATTTCTCTTAAATATATCGAAGCCTTAATTATGTGAAATAATCATAAGACCAACAGTCACTAAATAGCACCCTGCTGACAAATTTTTATCTGACTTGTAGACAAGAAATAAAGTAAAAATCAATAATAAAATACATTAGTTTTTTACTGATGCAAGCATATATATTTATTGTCAAGCATATTTTATGACTCATATCTTAAAGATTGAATGAGTGGTTGTCTACAGAACACGCTAATCACACTTCAATGACACTTCTAATGGCCGACAATATAATATTTAAAAATATTTTTGTAAAATAAAATATATTGAAGACATATATTTATATGTGTAAATTACAAATTATATTTTTATTATTTATTGTTAATCGATTGCGATTAAAAATGTACTTTGAGATAAAATGTTCGAAATTAAAAATTAAATAATACTACACTTCCTCTAAACGTCTAAGCCAGGACATATGGACGTCCCGAAAGCATTCTTCGGAACACCGGGACGCGAAGTTCAAAACCAGTGACTATCCCGGTTTTCAGGAACATATGGCAACCTTACCGTTGTAGCATATCACTCGAGGCAGCTTAAAACAGGTAAAGGATGCACAGTAAAGACCACATAATATATATATTTGTAGCCTTTAGTGTACCTATATATATTTTTAACAAAGAAAAACTATTTTAACAAAACGTGTAGGTATATTTAATAAATGATAATGTATAAAAATTGAATGAACATAACTTTAATTTTTTACTTCTTCTTATGGTATATTAGTCCCCACGAATATGTTTTCCTTGAATTTTATATATTTTTCTCAGATACTTCAATTATATATGTTTTGTACTTTTATAGTCAATTGTAGTTGTTACGTTATCATAATAAGTATTTGCACGAAAATTGAGAATCATTTTGTTTTATTTTTTTCGTTTATAACATAATTTTTGTTTACCAAATATTTTAGAATAAATTATATTTATTCTAAGCATCATCAGATTGAATAGGGGCCCTTTATTCTTAAACTTAAATTGTAGGTCCCCAATGACTATATTTCGGGAAGCGACTGTTTTCTCGGCCCCCCCCCCCCCTTTCCCTGTCAATTTTTATGGTATTCATATATATCTGGTGTAAACTATTTTTTTTTTACTGTGAATTCCTATGTTAAAATTGTTTTATTATCAACACCATTTCATAGTCGGTAGCACAATTATAGATATCTTATCTATAAACCTTTGTCGGTAGTTACCATATGATACTATATGTTATCATATAAGACTTCAATGGTTGTTACAGCGGTCGTACTCACTGTATTATCACTGTTTTTTTTTTTTCCATAAAAATATTTGTTATCTCTCGTACTCTGATTTCTTTCGTTCTTAACCGATTTGATAATAACAACAATTTTCAAATCTCAACTTAAAACAAATAGACATTAATATTATTATTCGACTATTTTAATAATAATTATAACAACAGGAAACATGCAACACCTTTTACTAAGCTAATGTCTGAGGGTGTATCAATACCCTCTTGGTACTATAATGGCCGAGTCTCGTAATTGTGGTGAGTAACATGTATCTCTTAGTTAATCAGTCAGTATAAATAACCGTGTTGAAGTTTTCAGTTACTAAATATAATAAATGTATGCCATTTTCGCTGGTCATCATGCTAAACCGTCAACTAGCTTAGTTGTAGAATTGATTATATCACTGGTCTTTTTAATCCATGATATTATATATAACAGAGAACACAGTTTTTACGTTGAGAAAACTTTCTAAGACAGAAAATTAAGAAACTATGTTAATGTATATTTTTCAAGACTTCACTTGTTTAAATTGTATTATACTTGTATACATTTATAATTTTAATTACGTGATTTCAACTTTGTATGTTACGAAGCAGTTATCCTATTATTGTCGGTAATTTTGCTGCTATTTCGTTATTCATTTTGGCTAGTCTAGACCCGTGGTCTGCAACAAGCTTGCCCTTCAAGTTTTTCGAACTAGCCCACCAGTTATTAATTAATAATGTTTTGAAAATATATTGATTTTCAATTTATAATTTCGTATTAAAAAAAAATAAATAAATAAACAAAAGGAATTTCTTCATAGGTTGTTTTTAAGAATTAATAATAAAGAAAATTAATTTCATTACCTCTCTGAAAAATTTTGCTTTGCAATGCCGAAGCGTTTACTTAAGATTTGATACTTTAGATTGGAGACATACCTATACCATATTACGCGTGCGCAGACTTGTATTTCAGGGAGAGTTTACAATACTTTTGGGTCCTATCTTAACAAAATGTGTTGATATATTTCATAAATTATAATGTATAAATAATTAAATAAACATAACTTTAATTTTGTATTTAATATTGTGGTATGTTAGTCCTAACGAATATGTTTTTCCTTGGATTTCGTATATATTTCTCAGACAGTTTCAATTATTTATGATTTGTACTTCTGTAGTCAATTGGAGTAATATGAATATACAGTTTGCTTAACTGGAATTGCTTTTAATTTTCTTATAGGTATAATTGTTCTCTTTTATATGTCTTATTATACTTGAAACGTCCTTTGTTCGTATATATAATTAATAACAGTTTTTATAATAATAAATCGTTGTATTCCATACATCGTTTTAAAAATAAAATATGTTAAACGATATGAATGATTTTTAATGTTAAACTACATGTTCTGCGATGTACATATTTATGGAAAATCATAAAATATGCAATCAAACCACGTCTTTGGATTACCAATTTTAAGTTAAAACTTCTAAATAGGTACATAAAATAGGTTCAATCAACGATAGTATAAAATAAATTTGTGTTTGGCATGATAAATTATCATTGAAAAGTTGACAGTCTAGACCACTAGCGTGATAGGTTAGCGTATTTTTTTTTGTATCGACGTGATATTATTTTTTATTTTAAATTCTACAACAAAGTTATTGATTTTTTTCTTATTTTTTGAATGTATCTTTATATATAGCTGCCACAGTATATACAAGGGGAGGATGTGGGGGTCAAATCCCCCTAGGCCATTTTTTAATTGTTATAATATAGTATTCTTAGTGTGAGGGTGTTAGAAACGTAAAAAAAAATATAATGATGAAATAAAAAAACTGATTCGCTTGCAAATTATCCCCCGCCATACAAAAGTTATATACACGCCACCGAGCTGCTAGTAGTCCAACCGGCTAATGTAATTTGAATAAATATGCCATTATTATTAATATTATGCATTAAATTGTAAACTATTATTTTTTTTATGTGGTTTTCTCGTATTTTTTGTTTTTAAATTATATGTGCGATATACCTGTTGATGTTTAAGATGCTTTATGTTGTATGTGATTTAACCAGACCTAATTTTATTAATCAATATTTACTCAGCAACATAAATAAAATGTATTATCGAAAAAGCATGGTAGCCTTAACATTATATGTACATTGAGTAATAATTTAATCGAAATTTTTAATACTTTCATTAATGCACTTTATTGTGTTGTGGTAAAATATCCATAGGCCATTTCTTTATTTGAATTTTACATTACATTTCTAATTAGGCAATCTCTTTGCGTGTATGATTAAATTTATTATTTGACTGGATTACAGCGAAACCTGTCTATATACAATGAATATTTATTTTGATCTCATCATAAATAATACTTTTCATACTAGATAACTTAATACTTCAGTATAATTGTCTTCATTGTCTAAAACGAAATTTTTTTAGTATATAATCTAAACTTTCAAGATTTTTTTTGTGTCGAAACATGGACAAATGTGACCACTAAATCACAGCTTAATATAAAATGTATTATTTATATATGGTATTCGTTGCGTACACGTAACATGCTTTCTTTACTTATCGTTATTATATAGTTATCTATATATACACTTATACCTATAAGTGTATATATAGATAATATCTATCTATATATATATATATATAAATCGATGTACATTTTGAATAAATTTTATAGCTCAAGATTCAACGAACCGATTTCGAAATTTCAGAGCATATTAAGATTGATATGTAGATGGTTTCTGTGAAGTTTGTACGCTGTGCGATATGTGGTTCCGGAGTTATGGCCTCTTAAGTGTACAATATTAATCACGCACGCACGCACGATATTCAAAAATTATTGTTTTGCCATGGAGATATATATACACTCTATGTGGTTATTTTTTATTATTTGTTTCCGTAGCACACGCGTCTATGGTTTGAGATTAAATAAGATTGATTTTTATTCAATTTGAATTGTATGGATTTAGGCGTTAAAAAATGCCACGACCAAGATTAAAAAATATTGGCCGACGATCACGTAATTATGTCGCCCAACAGTCTCATAGGAGATCTCAAAGTGAAGAGGCACATTTACAACGAAATGTTGTTCAACTTTTACGAAATGAACATCGAACTACATCTGCAGGTCCGTCAGTAAATCCAGCATCAAGACGAACGTCACGAATTTCGCGTCGTGCACAAGCCATGGAATTTGCTGCATTTCATTACAGCAGTGAAATGGATTACAGTGAACATGGTCTTATTGGTGGAATGAACTTTGCTGTATTCAGATGTAACGCATTATTACACTTGGACTGCACAAAAAACATGGCAACGACGTAAAAAAGGAACAGCAGTTGATGGCCATCCAGGTCTTTTCTATGCAGAAACTATGGGAAGACTATACACAGTTTATTCCAAATATGGTAGAATGTTATTATTTGCGGCTGTTGTTAGTGAATGTTGTGGGGCCGCGTTCATTTGAAGATTTACGAACAGTTAATGGTCATTTATGTGCTACGTATCGTGAAGCGTGTGAGCATTTGGGTTTACTGGAAAATGATGCATGTTGGGATTCATCACTTCAAGATGCATCGATCGTTTCATTTTCACATCAAATACGTATGCTGTTTGCCATAATAATATCAATATGTTTCCCATCGAATCCGATTGAATTGTGGAATAAATATCGAGATTTTATGACAGAAGACTTTTTGATTCGAATGCGCCATCACACAGGAAACTCTGATTTGATCATAACATTGGAAATGTATAATGAGGCATTAATAGCTGTTGAAGATATGTGCCTTACGATCGCCAATAAAGCATTGGTACAATTAGGTATGATTTCACCCAATCGTCCAATGCATGATTTTTTCGATTGAGAATTGCGACGAGAACAACAGTATGATATCAATGAATTGCAAACATTTGTGAATTTAAATGTTCCCAAATTAAATGACCAACAAAAAAATGTGTACGATATCATCATGCAAGCAGTACAAAATGAAGCCGGTGGATTGTACTTTTTGGATGTGCCCGGGGGTACCGGTAAAACATTTGTAATATCACTCATTTTGGCAAACATTCGAGTGCAAGGGAAAATTTCATTGGCACTTGCTTTGTCTGGAATAGCTGATATTCTGTTGGATGGAGGACGAACAGCCCACTCTGCATTAAAATTACCATTAAATGTGCAGGTTTGTTTATATTCATTGATCGATTGGCTTGAAATGCATTTGCATTAATTGAGATGTAATTATTTTTAATGTATTGCAGGTGATTGAGAATCTCACGTGCAATATATCAAGAAATTCTGCGATGGCGAAAGTTTTGCAGCAAACAGCAATTATTTTATTGGATGAATGTACAATGACGCACAAAAAATCACTTGAAGCAATACACCGCACAATGCAAGATCTGCGTGGCAATCAAAACATTTTTGGTGTTGCATTGATATTATTGTCAGGTGATTTAGGCAAACACTTCCCGTAATTCCACGCTCAACACCGGTAGATGAGATCAATGCGTTCCTAAAGTCTTCTTTCATGTGGAGATATGTACGAAAATTGACGCTAAACATAAACATGCGTGTTCAGTTGCAGAATGATCAATCTGCAGATCGGTTTTCGAAGCAATTGTTAGAAATCGGAAATGGCAAAGTTCAAATCGATAACACAAACGGTTCAATTAGTTTGCCAAACAATTTTTGTACAATTCTCCAATCAAAAGAAGAATTGATTGAACGAGGGTTTCCAAATATTATCCAGAATCACAGGAATCACAAATGGTTGAGTGAACGCGCAATTCTGGCACCAAAAAATGTGCAAGTCAATGCTATCAATTATCTCATCCAAGAAAAATTACCTGGTGCAGTAATATCATACAAATCTATTGATAACGCATTGAATGAAGATGATGCAGTCAACTATCCAGTTGAATTTTTGAATTCGTTAGAACCACCCGGTATACCGCCGCATTTCTTGAATTTGAAGGTCGGCTCATCAATTATTTTACCACGGAATTTGAATGCACCAAAACTGTGCAACGGCACAAGATTAGCTGTAAAAAGATTGATGCCGAATTTAATCGAAGCCACAATATTGACTGGCAAAGCGAAGGGGGAATTTGTACTTATCCCACGTATTCCTCTGATACCAACAGACATGCCATTTGAATTCAAACGGTTGCAATTCCCCGTGCACCTATCATTCGCTATGTCCATCAATAAGGCACAAGGACAAACGCTCCAAGTATGCGGTTTGGATTTGGAGGAGCCGTGTTTTTCGGACGGGCAATTATACGTGGCCTGTTCAAGAGTTGGCACTCCAAATTGTTTATTTGTGTATGCCCCAAATGGACAAACAAAAAATATTGTTTACACAAATGTGTTGGATTAATAATAAAGAATTTAGAAAAAATGATTTTTATTGCATTTTTGTGTTGGTGCTGCGAAGCGCACAGGAGTCGGCTATTAGTTATTATAAAACTAATTTTAACTGTACAACCTACGTGCTATTATTTTCGTTTGAAAATTTACGTCGTTTATAGTATTATTTTTGTTTGTTGCTAGGGGATCGAAAAAAGAAAGAAGGTAAATAATAAACATCTGATTTAAAAATTGCATTTAGAGAAAGCAATAACTGCACACGGGTGAATTCTATATATGGGCTACGAAGTGCACGGGTTCAGCTAGTATAATATATACATTTATAAATGAATCCCTATTTCCCTTGGTCACGCCATTACGCGTGAACGCCTGGACCGATTTCGCTAATTCTTTTTTTTTTTTGTGTTTTTTATTGTCAGAAAAAGGTTCTTATGAAAGAAAAATTAAGAAAATTGCACATAAAATTAGAAAATTTAAGAATACTTAACCACCATATAAAATTATTTCTAATCTAACCTTAACACTTTGGACAATATAAACTTTTTTATTGTGACTTTTTGACGTTTGACATAGAATTGACAGAATGCGTGCTGCGAATATTCTTAAATAGGATGTAAAATCTGAATATCGTTCAAACAGATATTTCGGTCGGAGTTATTTTATTGATAAAAAATACATGTATTATAACTGAATTTCTTAGTGCACATCACAGTTAGTTCAGAGCCATCACACCTATTATTAAAAGTTCAATTTAATATGGAGTTTTGATAAGTTTGGACAGAATAACATACACGTTATTAACATAATAAGTGATATACTTTCTTTTAAAGAAGAAGAATAGTTTTCTTTAATTTACAGTTGAATTTTCGTTTTTAAAAATTCCAGCAATTAGACGTACAAACTTAAGATATACAAGAGCAAGTCAAACTGACGAGCAACGCGAATCGTGGAATGAAATTCGATGGAATCGAAATCAATAACATAGAAATGTTGCATTTAACCCCTATCGAGCTGCATTGAATTATAACGTGGAAATCGATTGCAGTTCACAGCAAATCGTTGCTATTGGACCAATGAACGTTGTGTGTTAATATCGCAAGCAATTTATGTTTAAAAATGAAGTTCTGGATTGTGTTGTGGGCGGTCAAGTCAAATTGAAGTCATAGGTACCGCCATCAGAGCCACTATTTTCATTGGTTTTCGGAAATGTGTCAGATTCAAAATATTTTTTACTCGTATCCAGCAGAACAATAATTTTTTTTTTTTTTTTTTATTTATACTTATAAAGTTCTCCTGACCATAGTCATCTAAACTTATTGTTAATAGATTTTTACATTTTTAAGGTTTGAAAATTAGATAATAATATATAAAATAATATATTACATTTTCGTTTTGATATTTACAATTAAAAAAAATGTGATTAGCTTATACTAAAAGGTCGTGCGGTCGTCCACGCTTGAGTCGGCGGATAGTAAGTGGGTCGCTTAGTCTATAAAATTTTGCACTACTAGCATGGTTGATGTGGTTGAAGAAGTTGACAGTTAGTTTTTTGATATACTCAGTTATTGTGGGTATCTGAAAGTCTTGGTGGAGTGCAACATTGCGAACGAACCATAGAGCATTTGATATTATCCTAAGCACTTTCGATTGAAATATTTGTATTTTTTGCAAGTGTGTTTTAGCGCAATTCTCCCATACAGGGGCTGCATATAACATTAGGGGTCTTAATATTTGTTTATAGATTATAAAAGAACATCTCCAGCTTAATGAGTTTTGTCGGTTGATCAGTGGGTATAATATTTTGAGTCTCTGGTAACTTTGTCGCAATTTGGAGGTGATATGTGGATTCTATGTTAGTTTTCTGTCTAGGATTACCCCAAGGTATTTGATGTTAAGTGATCAAGGTATATTATTATTGTAAAATTTTAAATTATCAGGCATTTTGGGGCGGTGGTTTGTGAAGAGGACCGCTGTGCTTTGTTGAGGGTTTAATTTAATTTTCCATTTTTCTCCCCACTTTTGAATTTCATTTAATTGTGCTTGTATGTTTGGGGTTATTATTTCTACGTTCTTAGAGCTTGTGTATATAACATTGTCATCAGCATATAATGCTATTTCAGTATTATTTGTTGTAGGAAAATCCGATACGTATAAGTTAAAGAGTAATGGTGAAATTTTGGAGCCTTGAGGTACGCCTGCGTCCATTTGTTTTGTTTCCGATGTTGTCTCGTTTATTCTCACTTTGAATCAGCGAGCAGAGAGGAAGGATTTTATCAGATTATATAATGCAGTCGGGGTGTTGAATGTTTTTAATTTAAATAGACCGTCATGCCACACGCGATCAAAGGCTTGGGCTACGTCTAAGAAGGCTGCGCCTGTATGTTGTTTTTTTTTCAAATCCATCATTTATGTGTTCTGTTAGATGTAGAAGTTGCTGGGTAGTAGAGTGATTGGATTTAAAACCAAATTGAAAATGTGGGATGGCGTTTATTTTAATTAAGTAATTGGTTAGTCTTAAGTGAATAATTTTTTCAAATATTTTTGAAACTGAAGACAGAAGGCTAATTGGTCGGTAATTGTTTGGGTTGGAGTTATCTTTCCCTGGTTTTTTGAACAGAATGATTGTGGCCATTTTCCATTCAGTCGGAAAGTACCCCATTTTGATTAAGAAATTAAATAATATTGTTAAAAATATAATTGCTTTCCTACGAATATTTTTTAAAATGGTGTTAGTGATTAAATCGTGTCCGGGAGATTTTCTTTTTGGCAATTTTTTAATTATGTCTAATATTTCATTAGGGCTCGAATATGGTAAAATATTTTGGGGAAGAATATCGGACTCGCTTAGTTTTTTTTGGACTAGATTTTTTGTGAAGTTATCTAGTGAGCTATTTAATGTGAAGGCATTTACTAGAGTGCTAGCAAATATTTCGCATTTGTCGCGATCTGTATTCATGTAAACATCTACCGCTTTTAAAGGAGGGATTTTATTAGAGTTTTGATTAATTATTCTTTTGATTGCCATCCACATATTAGAGTCAGCTGGGTGTATTGTTGATAAATATTTTTGATAAGAGTTGATTCTGTGTTCTTTGAGTGTGTTTTTAACTTTTTTTGTTAGAAAATTTAGTTTTTTTCGATCTTCAGGTTTTTTATGTAGTTGCCAGAGTCTCCTAGTTTGATGTTTTGATTTAATTAATTTTAAAATTGAGGGGGAAAGTTGATTTGGATTATAATTTGTTATCGTATTTTTTTTAGCTGAGCAAGTTTCGGCCGCTTGGCATATGATTTCACGTAAATGTTTTATTGCGTCATCTGCTTTGGTAGTGTTTAAAATATTTTTGGGAATAATTAGATTTTGTGTGGTATGTTGTTTGAATTTTTCCCAATCAGGTTTTCCGATTATAAGCTTGCGAGTGGGTACAATGAAAGATAAGGACGCGTTTATTGTAATTTTTACAGGTAAATGGTCCGAGTCAAATTCAAATAGTGGTTTTTGGTGAATGGAAAATCGGATTGATTTTAATAAAATTACATCTAAGATATCCGGGCTTCTGTTTTGATCATATGGAAAGTAGGTGGGTGTGTCTGGAGCAACTATAATTGTGGAATTGTTTGCGAGATATTTGTATAATTTAAGTCCGTTTGTTTTGTTAGATTTGTATTTCCAGGTCGTGTGTTTACACTTAAGGTCACCTACTAACGGTATATTTTGATAGCTTTTTAATATTTTGTCAAAGTCATTTATGTACATTTGGAAGCTAGGTGACTGATAAGCACTAATAATTGAATGATTGATTTATATAGAAATTGCTACTGCTTCGAGCGCTTGTAATGAAGGTAGATATGTTGGTGTTTTATTTTAGTTTTAATTAATATGGCAACGCCACCTGAGGGTCGAACAGCTAGCCTATCTTTGCGATAAGTAGTATAACCATTGAATTTTATTTTGTCACTGTCAATTAGATGCGTTTCGGACACGCATGCTATATCGACATTATGTGCAGATAAGAACTCTGCAAATGTGTTACGATTTTGTTTAATGCCATTGGCATTCCAATTTATGATGACTAGCTTATGGATATTTATAATATTAGACGACATTAATATTGTTTAATAACGCAGGTAGATTTTCGATAATTTTATTAATAATCTGTGAAATGAGTGAGCTGAGTACAGGCATTAAATACTTTATAAGCTCGTTAGTGATATTTGAGTTGTTTATTTCTTTTTTTGTTGGTTTTTCGTTCTGGAGATGATGTTGGATTTTTGTTTTAGTTTTTTCGGCGTAGGATGGAATATTGTTTGTGTTTAGATTAATTTGGTGCTTGGTTTTCGGAATTTATGAAATCGATGTTGGGCAGGAAATTTGGTTTTTTCAGGCGCAAAATTTTTTTGTATGTTTGCCAAAATCTAAAAAGAAAATTTTTTATCACAAATGTTTTGTTATTTGGCATAATGTTTTATAGTATTTTAAAAAGACATTTCCACACGGAAAATTCAAAATGTAGACCGTGTCAAAATAATGTACACGTGGCCTCCTAGACCAGACATAGTAATATTCGTTAATATTTTTATTAGGTTACTACAGTATTATCAGTACAGTATACAGTATTTTTTATAGCCCACAAAACAAAAAAGGCATAGGTAATTTAGTAAACAACGCAAATTTATTTTTTATTTTATATCCTTAAAGGAAATTTTTTTTGAACATTATAAAAATTAAAAAGGTATCATTTATAAAAAAAAGTAATGTAATAAGTAATACGTAAAATTCATTTTTTTATTATATATTTCTAAATGTTTTTTTTTTAACAATAATTTTTTTTTAATAATTTTATTATATCAAAGTGGAATATGTAAAATAAAAATCATATACATAATTGTATTTTTATTAATATTTATTAGAGAATACATTCAATTCAGATATCTAAAATTAGTCAAAATTAAAAGTAGATTACAATAGTAACAAGTACTGCTACGTGTTCGCTAAAAATATAGAAATGGTCTAAGGGCCACGAGATT